ATCGTTAAGATCTATATATGATTCTGCTCAGAATCGAATTAACAATCCAGCTGAAAACTGCGCGGCTCTCATAGATTCAATCGCAAAAGATCATTGTCCATTTTTTTGCTAATTTTCGAAAAAAAAACAATAGCGTGAGTTCCTTTATTTCTTATATCCTTTACTTAAAAATGGCTTATCGCAGCAAACACTATATCATGAGGGAAATTCCTCGCACAATTGCGTATACAATACCCTGTTCTACAGTTCCCCTAATTTCTTAGTGATAAGCAGCACCTGAAAGGTTATTACAAGGCCAACGTTAGGCACGGCAGGACCAATCCCCATCACACGCCCCCAACCTAGATGAATATGTTGAGCACATTTGAGAGGATAATGCATTCTGATGGAGCATGTACATGCGCTGCGCATCGGTCCTGCGCCAAATATCAGAGACAGCTTATCTTCAGGAAATTAAGGATAAAGGAAACGCTACTGATTATGTTTTGTTCTCTCATGTTTGCGATAAACGTACAAAGTTTTCCTTTGTTCTGTAAGTTTGCTAGTATCGCACCGTGTACAGTGGGACTATGGGATACGGTGGTACCATTTCCAAAAAATCAGTGAGAATGATTGAACTTGTTGCTTTCTAAATTGAAAAATGGACAATAAAATCATTTCGTAAAGGAGTGCAATGACAAGCGAATTTAGAACAACTGCAAGATAATTAATAAAATAATTTGAATAAAAAAACATATGAAATTAAGTAAACCTTACCTATGGCACTGTGGGCTACCCGAAAAACGATTTGTGAAAATGCAAACAAGTGATTCCATGCCGTTACCCGCCATACATTTTTCCTCTAGTGCGCAGAGAACATACCTGAACATGATTCAAAATTTAGAACAAAACCTTAAAGTACATGACTTTAATTTTTTTCTTTTTAAGAACTGAAAAAAAATGAAATCATGTATTTTAGGGTAATCGGCAACTGGACTTGGAGGTAAGCACAATTGTTAATAAGGAGGATTGCTTGCTTACTCTTCACCTTTAAGAAACGTTCTAAAAAGTGTTTTAATTCTTGGTGATTCTTCCTACAAAATCTGAGCTTATAGACTGTTTAATTCCCTTTATGCACTTCGCTCAAGACACTCACCATTTTAAAATTTGC